ACATTTACCGCTAAACGTATTTTGACAGACTTTCCGCCTACGCCATTTAGGTCGTATCATATTAAAAGGAAGAATAGAATATTGAATTATAAATTATAGTATCGAATTGCACAAAAATATAATGTGACAACAGGGCAGCTGGTCGCTTCTCCATGACAATGCGTCGATTCACAAGTGCATTGCTGTGCACAAAATCGGCCTTTTTGGTCTCCAAATCGGTCCAGGTTATCGACCATCCACCTTATTTTCCAGATCTGGCACCGTGCAACTATTTCCTGTTCTCGAAACTCAAATTATAGCTGAAAGGACAGTTTTTCGACGATATTTCTCCCGTCCAGAGGGTTGTAACTGATGTTCTCAGCGGCGTTTCGACAGAGGAGTACCAGAAATGTTTTTCAAAGCTTTTAGACCGATGCAATGCATGCATTTCATCAGAAGGGATGTATTTTGAATAATATTTAATAAAAATTTAATTTCCTAGCAAGCAAAGCGAGCTTCATTAAAAGTTCCGGAATTTTTGGGACACACTGTGTATTAAAACCGAATGAAACAATTACTGCGGACCGTTATTAATATCAATTAATCTGTTTGAATCAAGAATTAGAATGAAAGCGCCCATATAGTAGCAAAGGAGAACGTCTTGTGAAATTGTTGCATGATAATGCTAGGCCACACATTGCTTCTACGACAAAAAATATCATAATGAGTCTTGACTGTGACATCTTGCAGCAATACTGGCGTATTCACCAGACATCGCTTCTACTGATTATCACTTATTTTGGTCGATGTAACATGCCTTGTCCGATACGCACTTCAAATCAGTGGATGAGATCCGAAAATGGCTTGACGACTTTATTGTGTCCAAAGGCACATTTTTCTGACATGAAATTCATCAGCTGCCTAAAAGATGGCTTAAAGTTCTAGAAAACAATGGCAAATATTGTAATTAACAAATTTGTTTTACTTTTTTTAAAATAAACCTTGAATTTAGCTGAAAAATTTGGATTATTCATTTGTATATCTAATATACACTGCTCAAAAGAATTATGGCATAGATTATAGATAATTTATTGCCGAAAATTGGCCAACTTTGACTGGCGATTACTTCGCGAAAAATTATTGTAGACTGATTGTAGAATGATTTTTGTTTCAAAATGAAGCTTGGAGTCTCTACTTTAAAAATGTATTTCCATTTTTTGCGTGCGATGCACCCCTACCCTGTAACCCCTGACATCTGAGGGCATGTTTGGTATACTGAAAATTGCAAAGTTTGACGGAATGCACGGACGTGGACAATTTTCTTTCGGGGACGCCGTTTGCATCATCATAAAGTTCAAATCTTCCCCTTCAATTTGAAAAAAATGGAGTCGCTACAATTATTTTTCGCAAAGTTACAGCCCTTCAAAAATATCGTTGTTTTTGGCCTTCGGAACAAGTGTGCACGCATCTGGGTGTGTGTCCGTGACAGAAGAGATAAGGACCCGTGGTCGTCACTTCCACAGTAATTATTGACTGTGGAGATCGAATAAATTTTGATACTTCCACAAGATATGCTCAATTTGTAAATGCAAATTGCAACACAAGTCATTTGATTGATATTTTTTATGAGCGAAATCTTTTTTAAGAGTTCTCAGCAATTCTGAGAGCAGTTTTGAATAGCATTCTAAGAGCTCTAAAAGAAATTATAACGGTCGAAAGCGATCCGACCAACCGTTTAGAACTTATTCCACCTTAAAGATCCGGCGAGTGAAATTTTTTTTCAGAGTTCTCAGGAATTCTGAGGGCAGCTTTGGGTAGCATTCTAAGAGTTCTAAAAGAAATGATAAAAAATGAAAAAAAGTCGAAAGCGATCCGGCCAACTGTTTAGAACTTATTCCGCGTTAAAGATCCGGTGAATGAAATTTGGCTGTTCTGAGTGAAATTTTTTTCAGAGTTCTCAGGAGTTCTGAGGGCAGTTTTGAATAGCATTCTAAGAGTTCTAAAAGAAATTATGATGGTTGAAAGCGATCCGACCAGTAATTAAAAAGTTATTTGACGTAATTAAAAAGTTATTTGACAGATGGACTATTCAGAACTATTCAAGCTTGATGTTCAATTTTTCGAAATTTTTAATTTTTTTTAATTTTTTGGAAAAAGATCAGAATATCTTTTTATCTATCAGGGACTCTAGTATTCGTCAAAAGACATCGAATGAGCTACTCAGAATTCGATCTTGAAGTTGGGTGTGAAGTTAGCACTCAATTTTTTATTTGCTATTTTAGTACTGTTAATCGCCGGAACTCTTTTTATTAATATAAAATAACTCTTATACTCTTCAAAAGAAAGCTAGAACTCTCATAAAAACTATCGAGAACTAAAGTTGGGTTGCTAACTTCACATACCCAACTAACTATTGATATGTGATAAAAAATCTCTATTGCTTTTCAAATTTTCTGTTGAGAATTCGATTAAAATAAATAAGTTTAAAATTCGATTAAAATAAAGAAATAATTCGATTAAAATAAATAAATAAGTCCTTTTTTTATTTTGATATTAGATTTTACAGGATGTTCCATTTTATGAATGAGCCAGGCAAAAATCTTGAAAAATATGAAAGATACTGAGAATTGTTTCAGATAAAAGTTATATGATTTCAAAGGGGACAATAAAACAATTTTTATTTACAAACGGTGCCACTTTCGAGATAATCGCTGATCATTATTTTTCTTAAATGGAAACCCTAATTTTTTATTATATCATCTTCCTATCAATTAATTTGGATAACTTTTGTTCGAAACATTTTTATTATTTAAGCCTAATATATTTTAATATATTAGGCTTAATATATTTTTAATATATTTTTAGATTTAATATATTTATTATTTAAGCCTAATATATTTTAAGGAAATCTTGATAAGTTTTTCAATATTCAACTTACGATATCTCGCTATTTATCGGAAAAAATGTGTTATTAGACTTTTTTACTCTATTCAATCCCAAGAATATATTGTTACAATAGCGCTTTGATTTTTGTTAATATGATGATTTTGAAATTTCCAAAGGTCGATAAATTATCAAAAGTTAGGGTTATGTCAATATATTCTTGAGAATAAATAGAATAAAAAAGTCTAGTATTATTTTTTCTTTCGACAAATAGATGGCGAAATATCGTAATTTAAATGCTGAAAAAGTTACTGTTTTCCTTAAATATCTAAAAATGTATAAAAATATATAAATATATAAAAAATATAATATATTAGGCAAATAAAAAAATGTTTTAGACGAAAGTTGTTAAAATTAATTGATAGAAAAAGATGATACAATAAGAAACTGGAATTTCTATTTAAGAAAAATAATGGTATAAAGTGAATATGAGTGAATATTTCGAAAGTGATCTTGTCTGTAAATAAAATGATATAGTTGTTTTATGTCCCCTTTAAAACCATATAACTTTTGTCTAAAACGTTCTCAGTATTTTTCATATTTTTCGAGACTTTTGCCTGCCTTATTTAAAATGGGACATCCTATATAATCTATCGGTGAACATAAACCAACGAAAAGGAAGGAGAATAGACGATACTAGATGTTTTGTGGAATTCACTCGAGATATTGAACATTCATCGAACCATCGAATAAAGAAAGAAATAATTAAATAAGAAAAGAAAGAAAGAAAGACAATTCATTATGTGGGTTCATCGACAAATTAAGAATACTATTAATATACGACGCATGTCGCGATATTGTCGCCGCAGCATCTGGTTGCTTCAGGGACGACCTCTTTTTCTGCGATATCGATTTGTTCAGCGTTCTTTCCTCGTGGTTGTGAATAATGCAACGCAGCCGATATCCGCAGCAATCCGATGGTGCTCCGTGATCGTGAAAAATTATCGGGGATGTCGGGGATCCTTCGGACCACTCAGGCGCGCATGACGTATCCCGAATATTTAGATAACGGCGATGTCAGGTCGGATAGTAGTCTTGGGTCTGTTGCAACATTGTCGATCTCTCTGGTATCTCTCACGGCGAGCGAAAAAAAAATATTAGTTTCGATGGTCAATTACATCACTACTAATATTTGACGATCTTTCTTTTTACTTTCTTAATTACTTTCTTAATTACAAATAACTTTGCACTTAACTTAATTTTTCTCGCCGTCATCAGAATTGCTTCTCTCTGCTTCTTGATCACTATGAATTTTCTACTTCTTAATGTACGATCAGTGGGAGGAAAATTGTCGCGTATTTCTTTTCTTATTGCGTTCTCAATAAAATTCATCAGACTAAAAATGTTGCAATCTCTTTACCATTGATAATACAGCATATATAACAGCATATATAAAGCTTGTGCTTTTATTACACTTTAACAATCGCTACACGTTTCTTCTTAGTAATTAACAATTAATTTCAAGTTGTTTTGATATTCGCATCGTTTTCCTTTCGTCCACACGATGTTCTGCGTAAGACGTTCATCACGTTCGAGAAAATGCGATAAACTTTACCCTTTTCCACGCGCTCACACGCGGTGCGACCGTAAAGTTTCAGGAGAAAAATTATATAAAAGATTATATAAAATGAGATCGTAAAAGGCAAAAATTTATTTACACGTTCAATTATTCATAAACTCTGTTCGATGCCACGCATCTATTAGACCATTTATTATTAGGTTGTTCGACTTCTGTCGATTATGCTTCGCAATAAAAGTTTTTCCCTGTTCGATCTCCCTCAATTGTCTCACCGAGCGCTCGTTCAAAAGTCAGCAAAACAGATCGAGATCATTGCTGTTGCAATTAATATAGAAAAAATCAAAATTACTTAGAATCGCATTCGACTCATTGAATTCTCGTGTGAGTTCTTGTAGTCCGACTTGTTCTCGCACAATTATTGTTCAGACGTGCTCTTGCAGGCGAGTTAATTTATTTCGATTTGGCTATCGAATATATAGCGAAGGCAATGGAAACTCTTGAAGGAATACGATCGCGGTGACACGCTGACCGAGGAAAACAATTGCCTCGTACTTTCTAGAAAACGCCAGTCGATGGTGCTGGACTAATGGGACATGGGACAATTACTCCAACTATTCCTTGTGCCGCAACGTGCGACTGCCGGTTATCGAGAATGGGGTGGAAATTGCGACGATGCTATATTTCATCGGCTATAGTCTCTCTCTGCTTACCTTAGTAGTAGCGGTTTGCATATTTGTCTATTACAAGTAAGTAAAATCTTCTTTGAGGAAAATCTCTTATTATTAAATGATAAAAGTCAATAGTTGCATTAGAAAAACAAAGCACTTAGTGAACGGTCAGATTATTGGTCTTTACCAAAATTGAGAAAGTTATTTTGTAAAAGTATCTAGTTACAGTTACAGTTTCTTTTACTGAAAAAGTAACTAACTATAACTGTAACTTGTAACTATAACTAGTTACAAGTTAGTATAACAGTTACTATACAGTTACAAGTTAGTATAACAGTTACTATACAGTTACAAGTTACTAATCTTCGAAAATAACATGTTGCAGTTATAGTTATTTAGAAACCAACGAGTCGTTACTTTCTACTTATTTTTTTATAATAATTGTGCTATTATTTCAAATTTTATAATTGTGTAAATTCTTTCAATTTTATATAAAAGTAGTTTGTTGATTATTATATATTCCTCATATTGTATATTTCTCATTTTTATAAATCAGATTCATTAATTTAAATAAACAATTCATATTTATTCTTTAAGACTATTAATAGCAATTATAAGAATAAATTTAATGAGAATAATACATACTAAAAATACTGAAAGTAATTTTAACATAACAAATTAGATATTTTTACTAAAAAATATATTGATATTTTATAAATAAAGGCTTACACCCATATGTTTTTTTAAATTTGCAGTTGAAGTTGCATAAATAATATTTTTACCAGCGTATATTTTGCAGAGAAATGCCCAGTTTTTCTCGTTTCCAAATTTCTGTTGCAACTCGAATATTTCTGCACATGTTGGCCATGGCATTTTACAATCTTTTTCTGAAGATTGAGATATTTTATCCATTGCTTGAATTTTTTACAACGACATATATACCTAGCCCAAGCATTCATATACTTTCACTATAACAACGAGTGAAGCCGGAATTTGGCAGTTTCTGAGTGAGAGAGAATGTTAATTTGCGTCTACTGCTTTCTTACTCTTGGCTTATATGACAGAAAGAGCAATAACCTTAATGACAGAAAAAGCAATTAATCTTAACAATTTTGCTGTATATATACAGGGTGTCCCATTTTAATGTCCCATCCCAAATAACTCTTCAGTATTGAAGTTTCAAAAAAATGATCTGAATAAAAGTTGTAAGGATTTAAGTGAACTACCTTATGATGACCTTGACTTTGACCTTGACCTCTATTTTCAAGGTCATTTGAAGGTCAACTTGCATTTTTTAAATGAGAATCCTTATTTTTTATTACACTGTTTTTGTCTACTAATTAATTCGAATAACTTATGTCTGAAGCATTTTTTTATTTGTCTAATAATTTTTTAGATATTTGAGGAAAACTTGATAACTTTTTCAATATTTAACTTACGATATCTCGCTATTGTCAGAAGAAAAAATGGTACTAGACTTTCTTGCTTTATTTAGTCTGAAGAATATATTGTTACAATAGCGCCTTGACTTTTGTTAACTTACCGATTTTTGGAAATTTCAAAATCATCAAATTAACAAAAATCAGGGCGCTATTGTAACAATATATTCTTGAGACTAATAAAGCAAGAAAGTCTAGTACCACTTTTTCTTTCGACAAATAATTAGTGAAATATCGTAAGTTAAATATTGAAAAAATTATCAAGTTTTCCTCAAATAGCTCAAAAAATATTAGGCAAATAAAAAAATGTTTCAGACAAAAGTTGTCCAAATTAATTAGTAGAAAAAAACAGTGTAATAAAAAATAAGAGTTCCCATTTAAAAAATGAAAGTTGACCTTCAAATGACCTTGAAAATAGAGGTTAAGGTCAAAGTCAAGGTTAGTAGTTACGGTAGCTCACTTAAATCTCTACAACTTTTATTCGGATAATTTTCCTTGAAACTTCAATACTGAAGAGATATTTGGGGTGGGACCTTAAAATGGGACACCCTGTATATACAGGATGTATCAAAAGTCTAGAAATGGTCTAATATTTCATAAACTATGCATTTTAAGAAGAAATGTTTCAGACAAAAGTTATTTGGTTCGAGAGAGGACATAAGATGGTGTCATTGGATTGATCTTGAGTGAACGTTCCAAAGTCATACGGAGTTCAACTTTGTTTTTTGAAATAGAACTCCCTATTTTTCATTGCATGTTCTTATAGCTTATCTCGAGAGCTTTCCAAAACACTATAAATAAATTATATTTTATTGAGTATTTTTCGAGTTATGGGACTTGAAAGTTACAATACTGCCGGCATTAACCAAGGCATATCGCATGGAGGTTGCACAATCGGGTCTTTGTGGCGTACATTTGAGGCATAAGTCCGGTGCCTCAGTGTGTCGGTTTCCTAGTTTTAATATTTCTCGCTTATTTGTATTTTTATTTCAGCTTACATCTAACAAGAAGATGGCAAGACATGTAAAATCGATAAATGAATGAATCATATTTCATTCGAGTGGGGGGGTTGAGTACATATAAAACCTAAAAAGGTTTGCGTGCATCCAGGCTTTCCGTTTGCGAGAAATTTGCAATTAAAAAATAGCTACATGTTAAGTATAATAACTTGGAATCAATAAGTGTGAAGCGCGGTAGCTGCGGAAGCTAAGGCGTGCGCTAGTATTTTGTCGTCTACGTCCAAAGAGTATTCGAGTCCTCGCAGTGCCAACTTTTTGTTTTTATAATATGTATTACTATATTTTATAATATTTCTATAATATTTTTAATATTTTTATTATTTTTTATAGGACAAAAATATAATGCATACACATATACAATAATATCTGTCTTATTATATAAAAAATAACAAAAATAAACGTCTTAATTATTTATTATAAAATTGAATTTATTTTACATATTTTTTATATTTCTTTCATATATTTTATATTTTTCTTTTACATATTTGTCTATAAATATATATTTAATTTGATAACTGTAGTACAAATATGGTGACTCTTGACAGTCGATGTAAGCTAGAGTGAGAAAGAAGTAGACGCAAAACAACTTTCTCTCTCAGTCATAAACTGCCAACTTTCGGCTTCACTTTTTAGAGTGAATGCTTGGTCTAGGTATATATGTCATTGATTTTTTATATAATTGAAACCACGCAGCACACTTTATGCTGAAGGTTATGTTAACAAATAAATACTGGCAACGTGCGATAGAAATGTCCAATAGGTGTACAATTTTTTTAAAAGAAATACAGGTTGCGTTCGGAGAGGAGATTATCAGCGCTATTGTGTCATTTTATTCTTGTTTTATATCTAATGAACGATAAAGATAAATGACGCAATATGGCGTTTTCCAAATGCAGCTAGAATAAATATATGCTTATTGGACATCAAGCATCGCATGTTGCGTTATCGTGCTGATTTGCCAGAAACTTAAGTTTGAAATATATAAAGTAACTATTAAAGCAACTATTAAATTGGTTACTAGTTATCAAACGAATGTAACTAAATTAAATTACAGTTATAGATAGAAAAAACGGAACGGAGTTAAGTTAGTTACCAAAAAAAAAAAAGAAATAACTGTAACTGTAACTTCGTTACAAGTAACAAATTACTTCCCAACTGTGGTTTTTATCAATGGTGGATTGGTAAAAACTAATAAAATAACTTGATAGATCTTCACATTTAGACCAATAACGTTGATGAATTATTCAACCATTATGTAAGTACTGTGTTTTCTGAATACAGCTAATAATTTGTCATATTGAATACAAAGGAAGGAAAGAGCGGTAAGAAAAATCTTTTCTTCCTTAGCATTTTATTAAACATTAATAGAACCGCATTTTTTATTTCTTTTTATATTTGTTATGTTTCTGACTGGAGTAAGCAAGCAAGAATAACGCATTGTTCGATACGACGAGAGTTTATTTTGCAGGGAGTTACGGTGCCTCAGAAACAACATACATACGAATTTAATGCTCACGTATATTCTGGCTGACCTGACGTGGATGTTAACTACTGTGATGCAGGTGAGTGAATATGTCGAGCAAGTATTTCAACTGTTACATAAGGTATCGGTCCAATATTGATGTTTTCATGCTTTGAAAGAGCAATCTAATATACATCTTATGTATATGCAGCAGTTATTACTGAGAATAGAAAACAGAAACCGACAATATACTGGTAAATTCTTAGTAAATGTATATCTCACTAGTCTGCAATATATATAATCTATAAATAAATTATGTACATCATGAAAACCACGATTGCAAATTGCACAAGAAAGCATTAGGGATTTGCAAGTTTATCGGATTTTTAGCCGGATTTTTATTTCCTTTATTAATAGTAATTAAATAGTGTATATATTCAAGATAAATATTTATTTTAACAAACCTTCCGCCAATGACCTTGACTTCGACATATGTCGGACACTCTCTTGAGTAATATTCAAAAGGTTTTAGCCGTCGCTCGTCACGTATTAAAAAGTTATTAACAAAAGAAGTTTTATCAATCGAACGTAATTTTTGAACACAATATACATTTAGGTTAGCTGATTGGCTATTTTTTCTTCTTATTACTTTTCCTTTCGAAATGAAAATAAAAATAATACTGTCAACCGAAAGTTTAAAAATATATCTACTCTCACTCGCAAAAAAACAGCCCACTAAATTTTGGCATAGAAACAAAGTTCAAATTAAAGCAAATTAAATTTCTTGTCAACAACCAAAAATGTATAAGTGGATTATAAAAAATATTTTATGGCGGATGTTGAAGACAGACTTTGATTAATGGGAAAAAATTTGTTTTTTAACTGTTGCTCAAGGGAATCGGTTCTCTGGTATAAAAATATATGAGGTTTAAAGCTTATTTATTTCCTAACAAATCCATATTCTAATCATTTTTCTATGACTTTTTTGATAAAGTTATGCCGTTTTGAAGAAAATGTTATAAGGCCAGATATGAATCCTATTGAGCATTTTTGGGCAGCATGCTGAAACGAAAAGTAAGAAAACATAATACTCAAACATTAGCAGCACTTCGCAACGCTTTGCAAGAAGAATGGAACAATGTCAAACAAGAAGAAATCAGAAATTTGATTTAGAGTATGCCCCAACGAACAGAAGAATTGTTAAATATGAGAGGAGGCAATACGCACTATTAAACTTAAACATACACACACACACGCAACACACACACATACATACGCACACACGCGCACACGCATACACGCACACGCACACACGCGCACGCATATACGCACACAGGATCAGATTCCTGCCATGTCAATGTCGTTGAATAACGTTAAGAACAGGATACACATATGTACACGCACGCATTCACATAAGATTTAAATCCGATCATCTACTATCACGTGGAACATCGTGATCGAGTTACATGTTAATTTCTTCTTTATAAATGTTTTCCACGATAATTTTTATTCTGAACTGCAGACTTTACAAGAAAAGATTGTCTATTTTGTAATATTTTCTTCAAAACGGCATAACTTTACCAAAAAAGGTCATAGAAAAATGATTAAAATATGGATTTGTTAAGAAATAAATGAGCTTACACTTTATACATTTTTGTACCAGAGAATCGATTCCTCTGAGCAACGCAACAGTTAAAAAACAAATTTTTTCCCATTAATTGGTCTATCCTCAATATTCGCTATTTTGTAAAATATTTTTTATAATTTACTTTTAAGTTTTTGGTTGTTGTTAAGAAATGTTCGAGTTTTAATTTGAGTCTTGTTTCATATTAATAAGATGATTTTTGGCTGAGTTACCGTTATTGAAAGATATTACAAAATTATGCTAAAATTTAGTGTGGCCTATTTTTTTGCAGGTGAGTATATTATCATTTAAATATGTATATTCATATAACTTTATCAAATAAAATTAAATATTTCTTTTACAATAAAATGTAAAAAGGTTATTATAAAGGTTATATAATATATAATAATATAATAATGTTTTTATTATAGATGTTATATGAATAAAAATTATATATATTATTATTATGTGGAAAAGAAATTAGGATGTTAAAAAAGAATATAAATTTAAAATTGAAAAATAGATAGAAATTGACATGAAAACATATTTAAATATATGTATGTTTTCGTAAAAATCGTTCGCAAAAATTAGCTTTATTATATAGAGCTGAAATGGAAATTTCATTTTAATCTCAATTAATTTTTGTTATATTAATAAATCATACTTAACAAATATATTTTCGTGTATACTCTATTTATTTTAATTTCTGGTACAATAATCGTAATTTTTCATCTAATATTTTAAATATATTTTAATAATAATATTTTAAATTCGTAATATGATATCCGTTGTGTTAAAGCAGTTAATGTAGATATTCATACGCGCGTATTAATACATTACTAACTGCATTTTGTTGTTAAAGCACAGTCATAATCTCGTTTCCCCGTGAATTTTCGTTTATTCAAAATGAATATTAATTAGACCAGCATTCTTGTATTAAGTCTAATCACTAATAGCTAAACGCTTATTAAATATCCACGTTAATGATACATCGATTTTGTTCTTGAAATGCTTCTCTCCTGATTTGCATTTCTACTATTAACTATTTCAACATATTAAGTACCACATGTTGCGCAAAATTACTTTAAATTACTTTAAATTTAATGAAGCGCCGCTTACGGTACATCACGCTGCGACATTAATTTCATTACGCTTTGACTACTAAAATTAGTTTATCATGAAGGATAAGAGTAAATGAGCGAGAACATGGCAGAAAGAAAAGAGAAAAGCGAATGACACATTTTTCTTTATTAATGAATATCAAAGAACGGGAGAGAGATAGAGAGAGGGGGTGATAGAAGGAGTGAGGGAGGGGGGAGAGAGAGAGAGAAAGAGAGAAGAGTAAAATGGTAAAAAGCTTTTCCGTCTGGCAGGTTAATTTACCATGCGTGTCACTGACAAATATTGTAATTATCCGCATTGCAGAATGCTCAGGATTTGTAATGTTTTCATCCCCATTGGCGAGGTAGTTCATCCTCGAGGCGACTTAATTCGAGGCACCTATAGAAAATTATTTATGATAATTATGCTTCTAGTTAGTGCTGCGCGGCATACATTTATTACCAATAATAACGACAAACGATCTCAATATCTTTTACGCGTGATTAAAATACTTTTCGTTTTACTTCGTAATTGATTAATCATGATTAATTATGCGTTGTTAATCGTAGAATTTTTTCAACCATAATGAAAAAAATGAAGTAACGTAAGAGAGATATATGAGGCTTCGTTTTTTATACTTCAATATTGGATTATATAATAATGTTTCATCGGATGGAAAATTTGTCAATCGATTATATTAGGTCATTAAGTATGAAATGTCCAATTTCGAATCAAAAGTTTGGTTTATTATATCTCAAACTAGAAATAGTACAATTAATTAAAGTACAATTAAACAAATTAAAAATTATTCGCCTAAACTATCAACACAATTCTGCCATCTTAACAGTAGCTTATTTATGCCAGCAGCGAAGGAGTTTAAAGAGCGGGTAACGAAATCGCGGAAGGCGTTGTTCACAGCTTGTTGAGAATTGAATATTTTTCGTTGCAAGAAATAGTCCAATGCTTGGAAGAAGTGGTAGTCAGTTGGTGCAAGGTCTAGTGAATATAGTGGGTGATGGAATGTTTCCAAGTCTAACTCCTGTTTGAACAGCGTTGTTTGTGCGACATGTGGTCGAACGTTGTCTTGCAAGAGCATTGGCCTATCTCTATTGACCAATCTCAGCTGCTTAATCACAAACATCGTCATCATTTCATCCAGTTACTTACAGTAGACATCCGCTGTACTCGATTAATTACGTTTCATGAAGTTGTGGACAATACGAGCGCTAGACCACCAAACAGATAGCATTAGCTTTTTTCGGTGAATATTCAATTTCAGATTGTGTTTCGACACTTCATCCAGCCATTGTGCTAAGCGCTTGCGATTGTCGAAAAGAGTCTATTTTTCATCACACGTAGCAATACGATATAAAAATAGTTCGCCTTTATAATGGTAAAGAAAGGCAAGCTTCCATGGTTTCTCTTCTAATTCTCGTTTAATTCATGCGGAACCTATCTATCTAACTTCTTTATCTTACTGATTTGTTTTAAATGGTCCAATATCGTTGGAATAGTAACGTTAAACCTTGCAACTAATTCACGTGTAATTTGAGATGTATTCGTCTCCACTACAGCTTTCAGCTTATCATTATCCACTTTGGTCTCAGGTCGCACACGTGGCACACTTTCAAAATTAAAATCGCCAGAACCAAACTTCTCAAACCATCGACGTACTGTGCGTCCATTAGCCACATCTTCACCAAACATTTCGTTGATATTTCGAGTTGTCTGCGCTGCACTAGTTCCATGACAGAACTCATATTCGAAAATAATACGAATTTTTGGCTTATTCATAGTTACACAAAAATTGCTGTAACAAAGACAATTCGAAAGATAATCACAAACCAAAACATGCGTTCGAAAGAGTGATGATGTATTTTCACAACAAAAAAAATCAAGAACTGTAAAAGTGAAATGTCAGAGATATCGACTGTCGAACTTAGTACTTAATAAAATCGTACATTTCATATTTAATGATCTAATAATTGGTCGTCTTATTTTATGTGATTTTTGTATATACGATTTTTCTCTAGGTGTCAATGCAAACGGATATACCGACTTGCGTGACGCTCTTTTCTCTCCTTCATTACTTCCAATTGACGAACTTCTTTTGGATGTTTATCGAAGGTGAGCATTAATTCTTCGCAAATTCGTGCATGATACCTCTTCTATTCGGCATATGCACGAAAAACGTGGATTAGGAAAACAGTTCGCTCTGCATGGAGAAAATATCATAATAAAAGTTACATCAAAATTTTCGTAATCTTGGACTATACAGAAGTATGATCAAAAGTGTTATATGTTTGTTTAAAAATATTATGTTCGTTTAACTTTTTATTACATAATATTGTAATTACTTGAATGTTTCGTCGTTGTATTTTTCTGTTATTTATATATATTTTTTCGATATATTTATATACAGCGTGGGGAGTTATAAGTTTACAACCCGAAATGTGAAGGTAGATTGGGTTAAGACAAACATAAAAGTCTCATATTGTTTTGCGAGATTTGCAATAATTATCGAGTTATTAATGACAAAAATCTGAAGAGTGGGAGCGCGCCGACATACACATATGTAGATGATTAGAGAAGCGTTGCAGCTGCTTAGGCCACAGCGCAGCCCATTCGACCTGACAACTTTGGCACGTTGGCAGCGTGCGGCGAGACATAGATCCGGCGAGATAAAACAACGAATAGCGGCGCGTTGTTTTTTCCCTTGCCGCACACTGGCAACAGTTGCTAAATCGACTAGGCCACGCTGCGGACTGAGCAGCTGCAGCTTCTCCAATCATCTATGCCGGTGCGCTTCCACTCTTCAGATTTCTGTCATTAATAACTCGATAATTATTACGAATCTCGCAAAACGGTATGGGACTTTTATGTTTGTCTTAACCCAATCTACCTTCACACTTCGGATTGTAAACTTATAATCACCCACCCTGTATACGGGGTGTTTCAGACCACCCGGGTTACTCTGGGATTTTTTCATAAACGCGATATTTTAGAGAAAAATGTTTCAGACAAAAGTTGTAGGGCTTTAAAGGATTTATTTACTGACGCTATGAATTTGATCTTAGGATAACCTTGAAAAGCCCAGATCGACATAAAAATATTAAATGAAAACATGAATTTTTTATTACACCATCTTTTTCCACCAATTAATTTGAACAACTTTTGTCTAAAACATTTTTTTATTTGCCTAATATTTTTTTAGATATTTAAGGAAAACTTGATAACTTTTTCAATATTTAACTTACGATATCTCGCTAACTATTTGTCGGAAGAAAAAGTGGTATTAAACTCTTTTGCTCTATTTAGTTTCAAGAATATATTTTTACAATAGCGCTCTGACTTTTGTTAACTTACTGACTTTTGGAAATTTCAAAATCATGAAATTAACAAAAATTAGAGCGTTATTCAAATTAATTGATGGAAAAAATCGGTGTAATAGAAAATTGGAATTTTCATTTAAGATTTTTATGTTGATCTTTTCTGGGCTTTTCAAAGTCATCCCAAAGTCAAATTCATAGCGTCAGTAAATAAATCTTTTGAAGCCCTACAACTTTTATCTGAAACATTTTTTTCTAAAATGTCGCGTTTACGAAAAAATCGGGTGACCCAGGTGGTCTGAAATTTATTATATATGTATTATGTATATATGTATTAATTCTGATACTGCACTATACCGGTATAAGTCAGCTTTATAAAATAATATTATAAAAAGAAATATAATTGTAATGTAATTTTTACTATAATATTTTCTCTATGTATTGTTACATACATTACAATATAATTGTAATGTAATTTTTACTATAATATTTTCTCTATATATTGTAATAATTAATACAAGTTCAATAATGGGCCGTACATTTTTTGCATTGATATTATACTTGGTACCAACAGGTTTGTATCTATATCTGTTGGTCGTGAAAACGTTCACCGGCGACAATATCAAGCTGAGGCTCTGTTTGGTGATCGGTTGGGGTGAGTGTTCTCCGTATTAAAATCAATAATTACTTTTGAGCTTATCAATAATTCGACTAGTTACTAAGTACATAACAGGCTTTGACGAAATATACAAATGAGATAAACGGGAGAAGTTAAGTTCCATTTAATAGATAAATAAGAATGGAACGTATTCTGTCAACAAAATACTTTATTATTTCTGCTTTTCGTTAATAATTGATCATTAGCAAAAGTTCATTAATTCTATAGGAGAAGTTAAATTTAATATTTAATGTTTCTAAATTTAATATTTCTGTAGATTATTATTGGTTATTCCCAACAGAACTTCGAAACTTATAAAAGATTCCTCGTTCTCATGAAATCTCACCCTGTGTAATACATAGATGTTCAGACAGCACTTATAATATATGGAGTAGACAAGAAAACCGTTTTATCTGATGATCTCAACTGATGAATAAATAAATAAATAAATAAAAGAAATATTTATCCAGGTGTACCTGTGCTCGTAATAGGCGTGTGGGGAATTGCCAAGGCACTAGATCAGAACGTCATGGATCAGGTCAAACAGGTATGAATGTAAACAAGAAAGACTTGTGTCCTGTATACGGATCCGACAGCAAATTTCCGTCTCGTTCCGCGAGAAATCTTTCATTTCCCGATAGCGACGTCGTATCGAGCCCATTACGCCGATGATGCCGAAAGTGCCAATCAAAATTTCAGCCACGTGCGCCTGTTAACGCCACATCCAAGTACGTGATAGAGAGGAGGCGCACACGTGAAGTGTGTGTAACATTTACGTGGTGAAGGTGTCCGGGACGTGTTTCCGTATGTGCGGGAAGAGATTCTACATTGCCTCGCACGACGTGTACGTTCCGGATATTTGATGCGGAGTTGTTTAGTCTTTAACATATACAGGGTGTCCCAAAAGTAACGGACCACCCTAATAACTCTTCAGTGATTGAAGTTTCAAGGAAAATTATCTGAATAAACGTTGTAGGAATTTAAGTGAGCTACATTATGATGACCTTGACTTTGATCTTGATCTCTATTTTCAAAGTCATTTAAAGGTCAACTTGCGTTTTCTAAATGGGAATCCTTATTTTTTATTACACTATTTTTTTCTACTAATTAATTTGAACAACTTTTGTCTAAAACATTTTTTATTTGTCTAATACTTTTTGAGATATTTTAGGAAAACTTGATAACTTTTTCAATATTTAACTTACGATATCTCGCTAACTATTTGTCAGAAGAAAAAGTGGTATTAGACTCTTTTGCTCTATTTAGTTTCAAGAATATATTTTTACAATAGCGCTCTGATTTTTGTTAATTTGATGATTTTGAAGTTTCCAAAAGTCAGTAAATTAACAAAAATCAGGGCGCTATTGTAACAATATATTCTTGAGACTAAATAAAGCAAGAAAGTCTAGTACCATTTTTTCTTCCGACAAATAGTTAACGAGATATCGTAAGTTAAATATTGAAAAAGTTATCAAGTTTTCCTCAAATATCTCAAAAAATATTAGACAAATAAAAAAATGTTTTTGACAAAAGCTCCAATTAATTAGTAGAAAAAACAATATAATCAAAAATAAGGGTTCCCATTTAGGAAACGCAAGTTGACCTTTAAATGACCTTGAAAATAGAGGTCAAGATCAAAGTCAAGGTAATCATAAAGTAGCTCACTTAAATCCCTACAACTTTTATTCAGATCATTTTCCTTGAAACTTCAATCACTGAAGAGTTATTAGGGTGGTCCGTTATTTTTGGGATACCCTGTATATAAACCTCGCTCATAAAAAAAGTTCTTTATTGGATCGCGCTCCTCCAGTCCTCTTTCTCCGTAACCGAAGGTTTCGGAAAAGACGAAAATAGTCCATTAATTGGAAATCACTAGAAACTCATTAAAAATATCACTGGTTCGATATAAAAAAATACTTGGTAAATCAGACTCTCTTTCTTCGAATCATTGCTTTTCAATTCGGCCAAATCGAAATGTAAAACAGGAATATCAAATAAATAAATAAATACAATAAAAGTAGATTACTGCCACACATACATAAACATATGGACCAAATATAATAACTTGTTACAGATTATTTTCTCCGAAATCACTGGAATTATGGATTTTTTCTTTTTATTCCATATTTTATTCCATAATTTTTTTACACTAAAAGGAATATGAAAGGTTACTATTTGGCTTATAAAAAATTTTTGAAAGCAGCTTTTAGAGAAACAAAGAAAACGATCCCTCATTTTTTAAAAATAGTATAGAATATAATTTTTTTTTTATTCGAATAGTTCTCATCAGAATTAATAATATTTACTTGGAATATTTCTTTTTATTCTGTTTTGTTAAAGAGTTATAGAAAAGAATTCAAGTTGATTTATTAAATAATTTAGAGACACATTCTAAGTTATTATAAACCTACCATTTGAATTTGAATTTTTTTCCATAGCTCTTTAATAATGCGGAATAAAAAGAAATATTTTAAATAAAAGTTACTAATTCCGATGAGCTATCCGAATGAAAAAGAAATTATATACTATTCTATTTCGAAAAATAAAGGGCACCTACCTTTTTATCCCCAAAAGTCTCTCTCAAAATGTTTTATATATGTCCAATAATCAGCCTCTATTTATGTTTAAAGTAAAAAAAAAAGTTAAGTTCATAAATCTAGTAGTTTCGGAAAATAGTTTATAACAATTTATTCGACCCACTTTGTATAGATATATTGTGGTAGAATTATGAAAAATTTATATTTGTTCATAGGTGAAAATGTATAAAATGTAATATTTATAATATCAATATCGGACACGTTAGATCGAAAAATGTTTTTAACGAACGTTGTGACATTTATAACGCCTATTATTGTATGCATCTCGATTTCATCCCTACCCGCAAACTCTCATCGATATTACATGACTGAGCTGTAATTATAGACACGATCGTAAACATCAGCAGGAAGTGGCGCTCTGGAGACACTGTCCCTGGATGATCCCGCATCCATATGACTGGTTTTATCAAGCTACCGCTTTAACAGTTTTAGTGGCAAACGTCATATTTCTCTTTATGATTATGTGGGTGAGTAAGCAATTCTTGAAATTGATCCTAAAATTATTAATTAGTGTTGTCAGTTTCGAATTTCCAGCTATCTTTCGGACATTATCTGGCTATCTTAGTCTTTCGAATATTACCTAGATATTCCCTAGATCATAAACACGTATACACACACACAGACATACACATATATATATATATATACAGGGTGTCCCATTTTAAAGGACCTACTCAAATATCTCAGAAACACTGCGTTAAATCGAAGAAGACAAAAGTAGTTTAGCTTGAAAGGGGACATAGGACAGCGATAGCATTTTGTTTATAAATGGCGCCATTTTCGAGATATACACTGATTATCAATTTTTTTAAATGGAAATCCCAGTTTTTTATTATATCATCTTTTTCTACTAATTAATTTAAACAACTTTTGTCTGAAAAATTTTTTTATTTGTTTAATATATTTTGAGATATTTAAGGAAAACTTGGTAACTTTTCCAACATTTTCTTTACGATATCTCACTAACTATTCGTCGAAAAAAAAATAGTATTAGACTTTTTTACTTTATTAACTATCAAGAATATATTACTATAATAGTGCCTTAATTTTTATTAACTTATCGACCTTTAGAAATTTCAAAATTATTAAATTAATAAAAGTTAGGGCACTATTATAGTAATATATTCTTAATAGTAAATCAAGTAAGAAAGTCTAATACTATTTTTTCTTTCGACGAATAGTTAGCGAGATATCGTAAGATAAATGTTGGAAAAGTTACCGAGTTCTCCTCAGATATCTAAAAAGATATTAAGCAAATAAAAAAATGTTTTAAACAAAAGTTGTTCAAATTAATTGGTAGAAAAAAATAGTGTAATAAAAAATAAGGGTTCCCATTTAGAAAACGCAAGTTGACCTCCAAATGACCTTGAAGGTCATGATCAAAGATAAATTCAAGGTCACCATCAAGTCCGTTACTCGATTTTCTCCAACTTTTGTATTTAAAGTTTTTCAAGAAAACTTGATCCTGCAAAATTACCCGGGAATTTCGGTATTTTTAAGAAACCCTGTATATCGAAAAATAAAATATGAAATAGTTGTGCAGTAATATATTCACATACATATATGCGCGCGCGCGCGCATGCACTTCTCGTTGATCTTATCTTAATATATGTTTATATGGAAATCAAGAAAAACAATATGTCTGTATAGAGAAAAACATATGATTCTGTTAAAATGATTATTTCGGTTCTAGATAATTTATATATACAAGGTGATTCGGAACAATTTTTTACCTTTAATATATTGTACCATATTCTTGAACAAATTCTAAGACTATTTTTCCTGTTGCAAAATGTTATCCGATGCTTAGTTACTGAGTTATTAAAATAAATAGTTCGTCTATTACTGATCAGGTATAGAAAGCAGATAGGGACGGAACAATTGACGTTACGTGCGTGCCATGTAGGCACTAGCATTAAGCGCTTGATACGATGTGCTGGTTAACATATATGATAATACTCATATACATTATTTTTAGAACTTACAAATTTTAATAATCGTGGGTGTAATAGCAAATAGAGTATTATAAATTAGTAGAATATGGTGTCATAACGTAACATCTGAGAATAAAATATTCGATATTTCGCGAGCAAAACCGATTGGCAAAATACGCGAACAAGATCAATTGGAAAATTATAAGACAGGCTACGAATCACCTGACTTGTAAGACGCGAATAAACATCGCATTTTTAATCTCTGTTTTCTTTAATTTTACTTACCACAAGGAAAAAGAAATGTCCATAATTCGCAATCAAATCGGACGTAAAATTAGAAATAAAACTCGTTAATCTTACGGGAACGGAGGTGCGCTAATAAGTAATAAAAACTGTGCGCTAATAAGTAATAAAAACTGTTAACTTCTAGATGAGCAATCTTTACAAAAGAATATAAATTCGTAGATTTACTTACAAATAAGAATATCTTATGCTTTCTGAACGTGATTAACACTCCGTTCTTCTCGTTCGTATTTTTATAGTTTATTTTGCAATTAAAAAAAGCTCGCATAATATCGAATATTGTACTGTCAAACGTTACGTTATAATATTGCATCCTACTAATTTATAATACTCTATTTGCTATTATACCCGCGATTATTAAAAGTTTTAAGTTTTAAAAATAATATGTATGAATATTATCACATGCGTCGATCAGCACATCGTATCAAACGCCCAATATCAGCGCCTATGCGGCGCGCACGTGAATAGTCAATTGTTCCATCCCTGCCTGCTTTCTGCACCTGGCCTGTAACAAACGAACTATTTATTTTAATAACTCAGTAATTAATCGGGTAACACTTTGCAAGAGGAAAAATAGTCTTAAGGGCTCCACACATGGAATGAGATAGACGCATATGCATAACATAAGAGCTTATGAATCAATGAGCATCGAGCATTTAGTCGCCATATTAATTCACACAATAGAATTTAGATGCTATTTAGATGCTCATTGGTCCATAAGCTCTTATGTTATGTATATGTATCTATGTCATTCCATGTGTAAGGACCCTTAAAAATTGTTCAAGAATATGGTATATTAAGGACAAAAAATTGTTCTGGATCACCCTATACATATCAGATATTCAGAAGATGAGGCATCTAGAAAAGGCCACCTGAATAACTTTGAAAATATATAAGATAGAAAAAAATATTAAATACAGAAATTGTAGAGTTTTAAGTGACGTATCACGTAACAATACTAGTATGATTTTGAACAGCATCGTTAAAATTACAGAAAGGTCATCTTGAAATGGAATCTTTTTAAATGGAAATCCCTATTTTTTATTAAATCTATCATCTGTTTCCACCAATTAATTTGAGTAACTTTTATTTGAAACATTTATTTGCCTAATATTTTTAAGATATTTAAGAAAAATTTGGTAACTTTTTTATTATTGGGCTAACAATATCTCCATAACTATTTGCCGAAAGAGAAAATGATACTAGACTCTTTTTACTCTATTTGGTCTCAAGAATATACTGTTACAATAATGCCCTAACTTTTGTTAACTTGATGGTCTTTGGAAAATGCAAAACCATCATGTTAACAAAAGGTAGGGCATTCCCAGACAGCACCGGACATCAAGTGGATGTACGTTTCACGTCCAATTTATGTCCGTATGTCCGATTTATGTCCGTGGACATAAATTGGACGTAACAAGGATGTCCTTATTGGATATCGGACCTGTAGGACATCCGATGTACGTCCATCGGACGTCCTATGTCCGAAGTTGTGACAAACGTACGTCCTATGGACGTCTTTTGTAAAAAAAATGGACATATAACGGGACGTCCAATGGACATCCGTGTGTTGTCTGGGTTATTGTAACAATATATTCTTGAGGCCGAATAGAATAAAAAGTCTGGTACCACTTTTTTCTAATAAATAGTTACTGAGATATCAGAAGCCCAATATAAAAAAATTACCAAGCTTTCCTTAAATATTTTAAAAAATATTAGGCAAATAAAAAATATTTCAGACAAAAGTTGTTCAAATTAATTGGGAGAAAAAAGTAATATAATAAAAATGGGGATTTCTATTAAAAAAAATTTAAGGTGACCTTCATGACGCTGTTCAAGGTCATACTATTACTATGTGATGCGTCTTTCTCGTAAAACATTATAATTTCTATATTTAATATTTTTTTCTATCTTACATATTTTCAAAGTTATTCAGATGGCCTGTTTTAGGTGTCTCACCCTGTATAGTACTTACGAGTTTGGAGTACGTAAAAAATACCTAATTTATATTAGTAGCACTATTTAAAATATATATGTCATCACAATTGCAGGCATTAAAATATATTTTCGCACCAGATGAAAATTACATTGACGATCGAATTAATTTTCTTCCTTTTTTTTGGTGCAGGTGCTGATAACGAAGTTGTGGTCTGCCAACAACGTAGAGACACAGCAATATCGTAAAGCTAGTAAAGCTCTCTTGGTATTAATGCCACTGCTAGGAATAACATACATGCTGGTCATAGCGGGACCTACCGAGGGACAAGTCGCGAATATATTCTCCTATGTACGTGCAGTGTTACTTTCTTCCCAGGTTCGTTCGTTGAAGTTTAATTTCTTTTCCTTCTTTAATTAAGAAATTTAATTAAACCTTCCCTAACTTCATTAAACCTTACTATTGTTAATTATACTAGTGTCAATTAGTGTATAACTATTATATATTGCGTACTAAACAATTAACATTATGTAACAAATAATTCGATATCGACATTTTGGTCAATAGATGACTTTTTTCAATAGTTTGCATATCTAGTATCTGTGTACATACTAGATGCGCACCTAAGTTTCCGGGTCTTATTGATCAATGAAAAATGGAAAATTTCAAGAGAAATACAAAAAATGGTTTATTCAAAGTATCGCCCCTCGCTAGCTACACATTTTTGCCATCTCTCTGGCAATACATGAATACCGCGACGATAAAACGACGCGTCTTTGAACCGAAACCATTCATCCAACCAATTTTGCACTTCTTCGAAATTGGCCAAGTGTTGCCCAGCCAAGCCATGCGCCATCGACCGGAAGAAGTGATAAGCGGAAGGGGCCAGGTCTGGCGAATATGGCGGGTGCGGTAGCAAATCCCATTTCAGCGTTTTGATGGTGTCCTGAATGATGGAAGTGCAATAGCACGGAGCGTTGTCGTGCTGCAATATCACGTGTCTCGTGTCATTCTAGCCGCTTTTCGAGCAATGCATGGTTCAAATTGATCAGTTGTTGTCGGTAGCGATGCCCATTGACAGTTTTGCCCGGCTTCTTTTCAGCAGCTCATAGTACACGATTCCTTTCTGGTCCCACCAAACGCAGAGCATTGTCTTCTTTCCGAAGCGATTTAGCCGTGCCGTCGATGTTGATGCTTCGTCAGGTGAAAGCCACGATTTTTTGCGTTTGGGATTATCGAAATATATCCACTTCTCATCGCCAGTAACAATTCGATGCAAGAAACTCTTCCTTTCATGCCGCAAAAGCAAAATTTCGGAAGTGGCTCTTCGATTTTCCATCTGTTTCTCAGTCAATTCATGCGGCACCCATTTTCCTTCCTTTTGAATTTTTCCCATGGCATGTAAACGTTTGGAAATATGTTTGGAAAACTTGGCGAATCATGTTTAATGCCTCCGCAAGTTGATCTTGTGTTATCATCTTCATCCAATAACGCTTGCAGATCGGCGTCCTCAATTGTTTTTGGTCTTCCGGAGCGCTCCCTGTCCTCAGTGTCGAAATCGCCACTTCTGAAGTGTTTAAACCAATCTTCACAGGTAGTTTTCGATGGTGCATGTTCGCCTCCTCAAGCAAACGACGTGCTTCAGCTGCACTTTTTCCAAGTTAAAGCAGAAAAGCAAAGCTTCCCGCAAATTCTGTTTATTCGGTACAAAACTCGACATGTTCGTTGTTAGAAAAAATATTTTTGCGTTGCGATATGTGTTGGTATTACGACTGGTTATTGTTAACACATGTCCAAGCTATAAAAAAAACACAACTTCAGACATGTATATCAATTATATGTGTCGTTAGCGCCATCCATGTGTGAAACCCGGAAACTTAGTTACGCACCTAGTATATAAACAATATATTATCTGGATTACATCTCTCTGCGCAGCGGAGGAACAACTAACAGTGGCCAGACTTTTTTTGTTTTGAGAGCAGAATCGCGTATGAACTGTTAATTAATAATCAGAAAATACTGAAATGACAAGAGTTCTTTCTCATGCAAAATATATAGAGTATCTAGTAATTAGCTGCCAAGTCGAAGTGTAAAGATAGATTGGGTTAGGACAAACATAAAAGTTCCATACCATTTTGCAAGATTCGCGATAATTATCGAGTTATTAATGACAGAAATCTGGAGGAGTGGAAGCGCGCCGACATAAATGATTGGAAAAGCGTTGCAGTTGCTTAAGCCACAGCGCGGCCCAGCCGATTCAGAAACTGTTATCGGTGCGCGGCGAGGGGAAGGACAACGCGCCGCTATTCGTTGTTTTATCTCGCCGCACGCCGCCAACAGTTGCTGGGTCGACTGGGCCACGCTATAACCCGAGAGGCTGTGACGCTTCTCCAATCATCTATCTCAGCGTGCGCTCATTCGTCAGATTTCTGTAATTAATAGCTCGATAATTATTGCGAATCTCACAAAAGGATGAGACTTTTATATTTATCTTAACCCAATCTACCCTTACACTTCGGGTTAGCAGCTAATTATCGGACACTTTATATACTCGGTATGAAATAAAAATTTTTGTTTACAGAAAGTAATTCTTTTCCAATCATTCTTTCTTATTCTTATCTTCAGGGATTTTTCGTGGCGCTGTTTTACTGTTTCCTGAATGCAGAGGTGCAGAACGCGTTAAAACATCACTTCATGCGATGGAGCACTGCACGAAATCTCGGCACCGGCCGCAGGTATTATAACAATTGGTCGCCACGTTCGAGAACGGAAAGTATAAGGTATTTTTCATTTCATATATTTTTATGCATGTATGTAGGTGTGTGCATGTATATGTTTGGACGAGCGTTTAGTGTTGTGCTTATTCGGCAGCGTGTGTTTTTATAACGCAAGGAACCGTTTCGCTTTTTTGATTTTGAGATCCTTAGGGAGGAAAGTAACGAGAGGCTTGTTCCTTTTATATTTACTTTATATATTAACTATATATATTAACTTATATTTACATTACTATATACATGTGATGGGAGTCCATCGTGTTCTCTGGAACATGTAGCCTCGCGAGTTTGGAAGCGAGCTGGTGCGGGGCGATGGTTGCTTCCGGCTAGCTGACCGGGCTAGTCTGGTCGGCTTCCTGAAAATGGGCCAGATCGGCCTAACTCGCCTCTTGGTTGGCGAGGTCTGAGTTCCTGGTCGGTGATGTTCGGGGTTGCTTGACCTTGATGGCCCGGAGCGTCTCAAAGCATACCGGCGGCGCGGTGCGTTTTATTGGAAAGAAACTTCACTGGACTAGCCTCCAGAGATGGAGAAACTCTCCCTCTGAAGGCCCCTTCTTCACCTGAGGCTTCGGTTGCTTAGCCTCCGGACGAGAGCTTTGCCTCTTACGGTGGCGGTGCTGATGCGGCTTCTGTGAAAGTTTTCCCGAGATCGCCCAGCAGAGTCCGGAGCATAGACTCTCTTGGATTGCTCGTTCGGAGGAATCGAGTTAGATGACGACAAAGTAGTGTCATCCTTGAGCGGTGCTCTTGGCTATGCGGATCAGAGACCACAGCTGTTTCAGGATATAGTGAGTCTTATACTCGGCTAAAAACTCAGTTATATCGCTGAAGTGTGAGCTAGTGCTTAGTGAGTATTAGCGAATGCTAACAAGGGTAAGCGAAAGCTTAGCGAGTGCTAGCGAATTTGGTTTACACCTCCGGGGGTTCCTAGGCCTGTCTGACCATCTATTAATCTTTTAGTGCGAAGATCCGGCAATAAATGGCAATAGGACACGAAGTATGTGTCGATAATTGACTGTGACACGTTTGCGATGACGAATCGCCAAGAAAAAGCGCGTTTGAGACCTAGTTTTGGCTCAATGGTGATCCAACCATAGGTAGGCATTGCTGATCCGTCTGCTACATATAACGTGTATGCTGTAGGTTGCTTGGGATATTTCGTAGCGGAGTATGGGGTATACGCTGACGTCTGATTCCGTATCTACAAGGAATTGCTCCTTGGTGTGCTGGCAAGTGACGAGAAAGCAGCGAGGCACCGAGACTTGTATCACTGGCCGCCATCAGTATTGCCCTTTTCGTTTTCCGGCTGGAAATTGTAAGGCTGTTCACACTTCTTCGCCTTCTTCCCAAATTTTCGATGGTAGAAGCAAAGATTGTCTTGTTTCTTCTTCTCTCTTGACTTGCTTCTTGCTCGGCTTCATGGATGCGGCATCTTCTCGAAACGTCGACTCAATGCTGCAATCTGGTTGGAGAGTTAACATATCTGGTCCGCCATTGTTGAGTGGTCATCAGCTGCAAGGGTCACTTCCGCCACAGTACGAACAGTGACCTCATGAATTCGATCTGCCTGTTCTGTCACGTCTTCTAGACGATCTTGTGTACGCGTTGCCAGGATTGTTTACATCTGCAGAGGTAGATGTCCAAGCCATAAGATGCGTAATAATTGCTCGGAGACCGCGGTTCCAGCTAGGATGCCGAGGTTCCATAGGAATTGAGAAAGCTTTCAGTCTCCGAGTTCTTCATGTTCTAGGAGCTGGCGAATCCTATGCTCCTGTGAGGCTGATAATCGCTGGATCAGGGCAATCTTGATCGTCAGATATTTTTCAGTGGCAGGTGGATTTGTGATTACGTCTTTTACCTCTCGAGCGTACTTCGTGTCTATCTGAGACAGTATATAGGCGTACTTGGTTGCGTCTTGCATAATGCCGCTTAATAGGAATTGACTTTCCAATTGTGCGAACCATAGTTCTGACTCGCTTTCCTAGAACGGCGGGGCTCGTACAGCGACTTTAAGACAAGCCCCTTCTGTTTGGTTTGCATTTGATTCCATGCTGGCTGCTGCTGCAGGGGCTTCCATTGCACGCTCTACTGACATGTCACTGTTCTGCAAGGATCACGTCGGGGTCACCACTTTGGGCGAGCGTTTAGCGCTGTGCTTATTCGACAGTGTGTGTATTTTTATGACGCAAGGAAACGCTTCGCTTTTTTATTTTGAGATCCTTGGGGAGAAAAGTAACGAGAGGCTTGTTCCTTTTAACTTATATTTACATTACTATACAGGGTGATCCGAAATTTCCACATTTGGAGTACAGGACATGATATTTTATGCTAAAATAAACAACTTTTCCTTTAGCAAAATTGCGTCCGACAAGTAGTTTTTGCAGAAGAACGTGTTAAAGTTAACGAATAAGTGCTCTTATCTATGTAACGCTCAGGGCCGGCTTGCACGCCTCATTCGCGTGTATCTAGTCAGTGAGTATTCTAGTATTCATAAATAATATCTTTTAAGACGCTCATACGGTTCTGTTGTGATTAGTTTACGACATTTTAAGACTGTGCTTAAGACAATCTTAAATAATAAGAATCAACTATACACAATACCAGGATTTCACAATTCGCAAAGCATATTACTATTTACATTTGTTTTTATTTTCAGATGATATTGTGCAATCAGACAATTTTTTATTCATTTATTACGTAAGAAATAAAGGCAATACTTATTTTATTAACTTTTCATTACTTAAGCAATACAATATGGAAGAAGGTCAAATCCCGCTATTACCCTACGTCTCCCGAACCTACGTCTCGCCGCACGCCGCCAACAGTTTCTGAATCGACTGGGCTGCGCTGCGGCCTAAGCAGCTGCAACGCTTCTCCAATCATTTACGCCGGCGCACTCCCATTCCTCAGATTTCTGTCATTAATAACTCGATAATTATTGCGAATCTTACAAAATGGTATGGAACTTTTATGTTAGTCTTAACCCAATCTACCTTTACACTTCGGGTTGTAAACTTATAACCCCCCATCCTGTAGAAGGTTTAGATCTGTTCAGGTCGTGGGTATGTCGGAAACTGAGAGAAGATTCAGATCTGTTCAAGTTGCTGGTCTGTCGAGAAGTGAAGTGACCTTCTGGTTTTACTCAAGTCGTCAGCTCGGATGAGAGGGTAGGGTTCGAAGAGTTGTATCAGAAATCTAAATTTTATGCCCAAATATGGTCATGGATCATCACTGTGCTGCGAAGATATTTTAGAGGTGGGGTTTAAGGGTACGTTGCAATATCTCGAAGATAAATATTGTAGGAGATGGGATACATATGGCGATAAGAAGATTCCAAAGTTTATCCGTGTTTCGTTAGGTTTTGTTAGGTTTAATTAGAGTTGGTGTGAACAAAATTTATGAAGGGATGCAAAAAAGGCATAGGTTCTTGAGGGTCAAAGGTTAGTCACGTCATGCAACAATATGCGGGATTGACCAGTCGTCTTCAAAGGAAATTATTGCTCCGAAGAAGGAAGTTATTAAAAGATATTTAGAAAGGAAAACGCCTGGCTGAAATAACTCGGCAAATCTTTCTGACAGAAGAAACAGAAATTCGGCAACTTTGTCGGACCGAAGACCAATTTTACACAACCCTTTTACAGAAAATGCAATAGTTCTCATGGAAAAAATGCGGCAACAACCTTCTAGGAGGGAAAACATCGGTATTTATCAAGTTGCCCAGTGATAATTTAAGGAATAATTGGGTTAGGTTATGATTAAGAAGGATATTTGTGATATTGTAATCGCTGGTAATCGCACTAAGTCCTGGGTGAAAAATAAAATCTGAGTTGTTTTGAGGATTTTTGTTAAAACATTCCCGGAATATTGAGATTTCCGGAGATTCTAGAGCTATCGCGTCCCGTGATAACATGTTTAGTATCAGTGTTTTTCTGACTCGGACTGAAGATCACCAAATATTTTTATTCATACTATTGTGATTAGGTTTTTAATCCTACGGAATTTTCCGGACGTACAGTCGTAAAAGTAATGAAAATAACAGGACTGAAATTAAAATATTCATTCGTCTATTTCTTGTGTTTCATTTTCTGTAGCAATATCTTTGACTAATGATATTTTGACTTAATTAATTACAGGTTATATTGCCAACCATCAAATCCGTATCGCAAGCGAGAATCCACAGTGAGCGAAACAACTACCACGACAGTGATCGGCCCGAATTCCACCACAACATTTTTCGATAAAGCCAAGAAAGTCATTTCGGAGGACCTTAACGAGTAAGACAGGAATTGTGTGAGAGGGAGACAAGTCTTGTCGTCATTGCATCGTTGTATTGATCACCTCATCGATCAACCGCATTTTCGAGAAGATTCCAATAATTTTTATGCCTCCTTATATAAGGTCCTTTCCTAAAGGTATTTTCACTAAAAATCTAAAAAATTTCTAGACCAAATTACGTATCGTATTAGATAAAAATATTATATATTTATTTAAAACTGTCGCTCTCGATAAGTCAATTAAAAGAATATACGAAGTCCCATAAGAAGATTAAAGGCCATCATACACAAACGAACTTAAGCAGTAAGACGTAAGCAGTAAGCAAATCGACCAATCACAATCGAAATTTAAGGACGCCATTTTAAAACTTACGAGAATAATTGACTGTGATTGGTCAGTTTCTTTACTGCTTACGTTTTATTGCTTACGTTCATTTGTGTGTAATGGCCTTTATCGATGAAAGGAATTAGCAAGATTGATCCCACTTATAAATTTCTCCAAAATAGGCTGGCTTTTGATCCAATTTTGGTTTCAAACTTAGATTGATTTAATTTGAATTGTAAGTTAACAGATTTTAGTTACTTTAGTAGCTTAATTTAATAGTGTATAATCGTTGGCTCGCTTTGTTGAGTTTTACGAAGCTTTACAGCATTTATAACTCGGGTAAGAAAAATTACCGTAAATGATCGCAGTTTGAAATTGTACAGACCATTTATACTTTTTGAAAAGATGGTTTATATAAAGCAATCACTGAATCTTGAAGCTTTATAATTATCGAAATTATACTTGAGATTCTTGTATAAAGTTGATAGATAATCATGATTACATAAATAAAGATTTTTCGATCAGTTACGAACTTTTCTTTTATTATGAATATTAAGTAACACTTCTCATCAGTAAAAGACCAAAATCACCGATTAAGGGAACATTGTATCTAAATAAACTGTTGAAAATAGTATAATATGTAATATAACACATCTGAAATAATTAATGATCAATAATCAACATTATCTCAACGATCATTAATAAGTTCTACAATAAAATATTGGTTATTAATTTAGTAGGTATCATTATATGTACATTATATAGAAATTTGCACGGCAAACAACCATTATATCATTAAAATTTTGCTCGTTGTATATGCGTGTGAACTTTGTTATTGTTTGCTTAGTAAAACTTTTCAAATGCAAAGAAACATAAACAAATTATTAGAGGAGAAATAATAAAAATGATAGATAAGTGATGAATATAATACATAACAATATAATTTTGATATGCAGAATGTTCCGCGAAGAAAGTGACAAATTTTTATAATGTGTTTTAGAAGTTGTTCTAACAAGTAAACCGTCGGAACTGTCCTTCACCAATTTGGATGGGTTTTAGATATGTTGTAGAGCAGCAAAAAATAATTAGGTCATATTTTTTTATCTGCATATCTCGACGTTTAGGGGTTGAAAAAATGACGGAGTTTTTCGTTTTTTGGGAATATGTTTTAAACTATGAGATGTACGAAAAAATGATTAGATGAAAGTTTAATAGTATTTTATGCTCTATATAATGGTATATCTAGATTTTCGAAAGATATCAAATTTTTTAATTTATCCCCTCCCTCCATTATAATTTTTGCCAATTTCAAAATTTTTGTAAGGACAAAAATTAAAGAGCTTAAAAAGACAAATTCATCACTCCTTTTAACGATCTCCGTCTCGTTTTATTGCTCTTCCAGTATTCTACGGCACTCCTTTTATATTCAATTGGTAATGCTTCTGTAGAACATAATACTTCTTCCGGTAAATACTCTATTTCTTCATGACTCTGAATAAGTCAACTGCTTCAGCTTCGGAGGTCTCATATGGATCATAAAAATCTAGAGATATTTCTTCCTCTATTTCTAATACTTTTTCATTACTTCTTTTATATTTCTTATCCGGTGGTATATAAGATATTTCTTGTAACATGTGTTCAATTTTCTCTTTTACTTCCCGTTCCTCCAAAGTTATCGGACTCTGAGGAATATTTAATGCAGTAAAAGTCACATACAGTAACATTATTACATTTAATGGTTTAAATGGCGTCATTCTAAAAAAAATTACTAATTAAATATCTGTTCCAAACTATGATTATATAAAACATATTACGTACTTTATATTTAATAAAGCAATCTCTTTATGTTAGTTATATGATACTACTTTCTCTCTTGATAGAAAATATGATTTGAGTCCAAAATAAACCATTGCATCGTGAAAAAGTAATCAATAATTCAACGTCTTGCTAATATCGTATAGACACAAGAAGCAGTCCTACAAAATATGTAATAATGAAAAAGTATTCTAAAATATGAAGCATGAAAATCCAAATATTACATAGGTTGAAAAGAATTGTAGAAATTTGCTTAAGTTTATTAGAATGTAAATAACTTTGTTGAATTGTTGAGTTAATATTGACGCGTTACGTGTTGGATTATTTTATGTGATTATTTTATGACACGCACACCACAGCACAAAAACTGTACATATAAAACTGCACAATAAAACAATTATTTGTTAATTTATAAAATTAGAATAAAAATTAATTTAAAATTATTATAAAATATTTACATGTTTACGAAATCACATTACCAATAGATATAGTGTTACATGACGAACACGCTCGCGATGGATGAGCGGTTCGGACAATGTCGAAGTTTTACGTTTTGAACTGATAATACTCCACATCACGGATGTTTATACAGGGTGGAGGGTTATAAATTTACAACCCGAAGTGTGAAGATAGATTAGGTTAAGACAAACATAAAAGTCAAGTGGGCCGCGCTGCGACTTAAGCAGCTGCAACACTTCTCCAATCATCTATGCTGGCGCGCTCCCACTCCTCAGATTTCTGTTATTAATAACTCGATAATTATTGCGAATCTCGCAAAACGGTATGGGACTTTTATGTTTATCTTAACCCAATCTACTTTCACACTTCAGGTTGTAAACTTATCCTGTATACATGATGGTCTAGGTTCTAAATCTTAATGATGTATTAGTATGTTCTATGAATAAAAAATAAGAAATAAACATTATATTGTTGTGCCCACGCCTTTGGGGAACGTATTGTTCCCACGCTCTTGGAAGAAGACTGTGAAGAAGGCATATAGAGAGTGTTTGACAGCTGTTATCGTTGTCAAGGAGTTTGTTTACTAACAACTGGAATAATAAGAGAGTCGCTCTAGTCCTGTCACGGCGTACGGACATAAAGCGAATTCGTGCGATTATTTTGAGATTGATTAAGATCCGTTTTTCTTGGCTGTAAATAAAGCTTTTCTCGTTTAGTTTATCCCGAGTTATTTCCTTCACGCGCGGGCACAACAATATATACATATGTCCATAGAAGTTTCATTCAAAAGTTATAACAAAAACTAACTCAGACAGTATAAAACCTCCAAAAATCATCCTGGAGACGTTTTTAGGACATTAGGACGTCTTTAAGATGTCCTTAGAACATCCTTTGAAGATCTGTGTTGACTAAGAAAGGAAATTAAAAATATTTCCACTTGTAAACGTTGCTTCATCAGCCCAAAGAATTGTTTATGTAATAAGAAGCAATATACATCAAAATTTAATTCAAAGAATTAATATTGCATTTGCTAAAATAAAACAGGATCAATGTAAAATTCGTGAAGTAATTAATTTCATTTTTCTACGATTTTAATCATATGTTAACAAAAATAGTCAACATTTTGAAAAAGAATACTAATAAAGTTACAACAATAACAATAATAATAATAAAATTATTAAAAGTAGAAGCAGATCTCTTACGCACGTTCGCATATACAGTGCCTATCAAAAGTTCCGGGCCACCTAAATAATTTTTGAATGGTTTGAAATATAGGATTGAAATTTATAGGGATATAATGGGATCACAAAGTCTATTATTTAACCACAAAAACATTCTCCACACCCACACCCCCGGGGGACGGGGGGAGGGGGAGTCAAAAAATCTTAAATGGCATGTGGGGTTGAGTGAGGACTCATTCGAAAGGGTTTTCCGAAACGAAACAACGTGAGGTCGCCGAGGTCTCTACGATTTTTTTCGCAGAGTTGTGATCATTTGAACATTTCTATTGAGATTTTGCGATAGCGAGGACCCACGGCGACAACAGAAGGAAGATAAGGGCCAGAGCACAGACTTCTGCATAACACATAATACACAACGCATAAGAGAATTAACCAGTCAGAGTTCTTCATTTCTGTCCTGAGGAGGGAAATGAAGAAAACTAATTGGTTTATTCTTTTATGTGTTATGTATTATGTGTTATGCAAAAGCCTGTGTTCTTGCCCTAAGGCTTCACGCGGGTACGCGCGATCCTATATGTGTGTGTGTGTGTGTGCGTGTGTGTGCGTGTGTGCGTGTCCAGCCAACCAAGGCAAAACCGCTAGCGTGTCCGGCCAACTAAGGCAAAACCGAGATGGGAACACTGGTGTATGTGAAGGAATAAAAACACTAATTATTTTATCAAATGTTCAAATTGATGTCCTTTGACAACTTGGCATGTTCTAAGTGAACGTAAAACGTATCGATAACATTAGTTAAAAAATCGGGTGTGATTGAATGTGAAACGTCCACTATTTTTTCTCGTAGCTTTTCTAAATTTTCAGACCTAGTCTCATAGACCTTTGTTTTCAAATATCCCCAGTAAAAGAAGTTTAATGGGGTCAGATCTGGTGATCTCGGTGGCCATTCTATTGTGTCTCTTCTACCAATCCATCGATCAGTAAAAACATCATTGATAATATTTCGAGTTTCCAGAGAAAAATTAGCCGGAGCCCCATCCTGGTGAAACCAAACATTGTGGAAAGCTTCTCCAGCAATATCCTGAATAGCTAGTATCACTTGGTTTCTTAGCAAATTGGAATAATTTTGAGAATTTATGTTTCCTTCAATAAAAAACGGTCCTATAATACGATTAAGCATTATTCCGGCCCAAACGTTAACCTTCTGAGGATACTGCGTATGATTGTCTCTCATTCAATGCGGATTTTTATCTGCCCAATACCTCATATTTTGTCGATTTACAGAACCGTTTGATTCAATGTTGCTTCGTCAGAAAAACAGATCCAGTTGAAAAATTGACGATTATCAGCAAGTCGTGTTATCATTGTGTCGCAAAATTTCACTCTTCTGTCATAATCGTCTTCGGATAGCTCCTGGACTAGATGTATTTTGTAAGGATGATACTGATGTTTCAATATATATCTCATTTTTTTTTTAATTAATGACCATATTGTATTATTATATATGGATGGATTCGGCATCAAATGCTCTTTAATTTTTGTCCTCATGAAATATTTTAATTTTGCAAAATTAAATGGATAGGAGGGGGTTAAAAATTTTGACACTTTTGAAAAATCTGAATATACTGTTGCAAATAGTATAAAGTACTGTAAAATTTTTGTAGAAAACATTTTTTCATATACGTCGTACTTTAGAAGATATTCACAAAAAATGAAGATGTTAGTTTTTTTAGGGATTTTTTCACCCTTTAAACTTTAAGATACGCCGATAAAAAAAATACATGATAATTTTTGTTGTTCTACAAATATCCAAAGCCCGTCAAAATCGGTTAGGGACAGTTCCGACGGTTTCCTTATAAGAAGTACTTGAATATTGCAGTTAAAACTAAAAGAATTTATAAATAGAAAGGGGAGAAATATTGGTAAATTTTATTTTAAAAATCGCTTTTAAG